CTATCAAACGATACTGTTTCACGGCGAATCCATGATCTGGCAAGCTACGTCAAACAAGAACTAGTTACACGTCTACAAAAAACACGATTCGCCTTGCAAATTGATGAGTCAACTGATGTCGCTGGTCTGGCTATCTTGCTGGTTATCGTGAGATATCCATATGAAAGTTCTTTTGAAGAAGACATGCTTATGTGTTCACCGCTGCCCACAAACACTACCGGGGAAGAAATTTTTAATAAAATAAACATATTTTTTGAAGAAAATAATCTCAGTTGGAACGATTGCATTGACATTTGTACAGATGGGGCCAAGGCTATGACAGGTAAAACAGCAGGTGCAGTGTCACGCATAAAAAATAAAGCGCCTAATTGTAGTTCCAGCCATTGTATCCTGCATAGACAAGCACTTGCGATGAAGCAAATGCCGTCAAATCTAAAATTAGTTATGGATGAAGCGGTAAAAATAATCAATTTTATCAAATCACGACCACTACAATCCCGATTGTTCTCATTATTGTGTGAAGATTATGGTAGCAAACATAAAACACTGCTGCTCCATACAGAAGTGCGATGGCTGTCTCGGGGTAAAACTTTAACAAGGCTATTTGAACTTAGAGCGGAGTTACAAATGTTTCTTTCAGCTGATACTTCTTTTAATTTGAAAGGCCGTTTGTATGATAAAACTTGGTTGTTCCGATTGTCTTTTATGGCGGATATCTTTCAAAAAATAAACGACTTGAATTTATCATTGCAAGGTAAACAGACAACAGTATTCCAGGCCTATAACAAAATAACTGCCTTCAAAAGAAAATTAGATTTTTGGATTGTTTGCGTTGATAAGAGAGAAATAGAAAGCTTTACGTCACTCAGTGAGTTTGTTAGCGATAACGACTCAGAAATGTTTCAAGATGATATGTTTGATGAATTGGTTCAATATCTCACTTCGATGCGCGCATCTTTTGAAAAGTATTTTCCCGAAGAACAGAATACAAAAATAAAACTGAATTCATGGATTCATAATCCTTTTTTACCCAACTTGCAAAAGCCCGAAAGTATGTCAAACGAGATATATGAATCTCTTTTAGAAATGTCATCAGACACAAGTATGGAGTCACTATTCAAAACGATGCCTCTCAACGATTTTTGGTGCAGAATTCGTAATGAATATCCAATGCTTGGCAAAATGGCTCTGAATATTCTTCTCCCGTTCCCAACAACATATTTGTGCGAAACAGGATTCTCAACGTATGCAGCCACGAAAACAAAATATCGCAATAGACTGGACGCCGAACCTGATATGAGACTGCAACTGTCTTCTATCAAACCTGACATCAACCAATTAATGAAAAATAAAAAACAGTTTCATACCTCCCATTAGTTAGATTTTTTCTTTTTTAATATCTTGTAATAATGTACTTGCCATGTGGCATGTTAAATAAGTAATAATCAGTATAATAAAGAATACACTTTTAAAAACTATTGTTTTATTGTAGGGTTCCGTCAAGTATTTTGCTTTCCAAAAGGGTTCCGTCACCAAAAAAGTTTGAGAACCGCTGCCCTAGAGCATTGTCGTTTGAATATAGAAATACCCTGTATGAGTATAACTTACCACCGTAAGTAATTATATACTGTGTAGAAATTCCCTTTTAAGCGGAATTTTTTTGTCAATGTAAACAAGATGGGACTACCGACATACAGATTTTTAAAATATGATTTTAATTCGAGTTTTAATTATTTACATATTGAAAAATATGTTAAACCATCTTGAATTTTAGTAGAATTAAATTATCTACAGCGAATCGCAGCTCATTTTCACACATTTTGAAAGCATTTGCCTAAGTAAACGAATTAAGTTGGGTCCTATGATTGAACGTTTACGTTATCCGTAACGTTCATGTTAGACCGAGTTTTAACAGTAACGAGGCAAGTTTGTGTGGTGGAAAACTGTTAAATTAGAACATAACAGCCAGAAAATAACAGTAATGTGTTTTCCATCATACGAACTTGCCTCGTTACTGTTAAAACTCGGCCTAACATGTACGTTACGGATAACGTAAACGTTCAATCATAGGACCCATTATCAGACATGCATACGTCTAGTCGCACGCACACAAACACCGTACCGAAGTCTGCCGAACTGAAACGACGTTAGACGATGCACGGCTTTCAACGGCGCACCGCTGTGCCGGTCGGAGTGGGGGGCGTTAGGTTTATTTTCGTTACGGAATTTCTTTTTCGATTTTTAGATTTTCTTTTATTGAATAAATTATTTAATATTGTTTAACACCGCACCGGTCGGGGTCGGGGGTGTTAGGTTTTTTTCGTTACGCGTTACGGAATTTCTTGATTTGGTCGCCGCGCTCAAAGCCCGCGATAAAAGCTATGCAATAGCTTAAAAGATAAAAAAAGTTACAGTTACTTAAAGGTGCGTATATAGATATAACGGGCTGGGTCCAAGCCAACAACGGGTACATGCAGGTTTGTCAGATTTGTACGGTGTCGTTATCCAATAAATACTTCGATTCTATTTGGTCCGGCCCGTTGCTTTTCATCGCGTGGTAGGATATAAGACATCGTACTAACCTGGGCCCGTTGTTGGCCCCGCCCCTTCAGATCTATACGCATCTACAGTGTCTCTGCATATATTTCTTTTCACTTTTTGCAGCTACTATTACTTTCTTGTTACTTTTTACAAAATTATAAAATTCTTTGCAAGTATAAGAATAATTAATCTTTATTTGAAGTTCGGCCTTGATATGTGTTCAATGGACAATACATTACGCGTGTCAGTCCACGAAGCTGAACATATTGAAGATATTATTTGAAACATTGAAATTAAGTACAATAAGTGTTCTGCAATGGGTTGTTGCAGGACACAGGACAATGCACCCCAAATGGTGGACGTCCACCGAATGCAGGACGGTTGGCAACCCTATATACGGCTTGAAAAATTTGATATCCGATGACTGCATTTTAAGTTTTGGGTCATGCAGAACTTTTTATTAAGAATAACGTTTTTTCCTAAAATCAATAAAAAAAAAAATTTCATATGGTTCCAACTTAAGTAGACACACTGTACAGGGTGTTTCCGAACTTGGCTTCCAAATTTGTAGGGGTGGTAGTTCGCATAATTTGAGAGCGATTGGCAATTTCATTTTTCTAAAAAAATTATAATAAATAAAATAGCCATTATAAAAAAAATCAAAAAGCGGGTCCTACCCTGAGCGCGTAGCGCAATAGTCCCCGGCCGGTATCGAAAGACGTAGCCGATTTTTTTTTCTAGTGCGTATTGCTTTGTTGGGTTGTTTACCTCGCGTTCAGAGAATTGATCCCATCGCTGTGCAGGACCGTACCTGTTAACATTTTTAATTATTTTTATTTTAAATATTTTTTAAAAATAAAATCTGCGAATCGGTCTCAAATTATGCGAATCTTTATATCTTGCTGTAATTTTAGATGAAATGGGTCCTAGGTAGTGTGAAGATTCACTTTTGAGGTTTTTAGATATACCTTCAAACTACGTATTAAAGCTTTTAAAGTACAGGCCACAGCCGGTTTTATGGTTCACTTAGTCGAAAGTTAAGGGTAAAAATATCATAAATGACTTATTTTTTTTAAATTGTGTTATTGGAATCAACTGCTAAGAATATTAGCCTCGTGTTCTGTGTAGCTTTGTTACGTTTTCCCAGCGTCACTTTAGAAACAGCACTGTTAATTAGAACCAAACAGCAAAAGGTGGGATGGGGAATCCTATCTGTGCATCAGAATTAATTTTTAATTAATTAAAAAATATCCCGGCCACGGTGGGACCCGCGGATTCGCAGGCACAGACTCTAACCACTGAGCCAGCCCCCCCAAAGGACTGTTTTTACTAAGAGATTTTATGAATTTTTTTTATAGGTCTCTTTAACAAATTTTTAACCTTTCTCCTAAAGTGGCAAGATTGTGTTTATTATAAAAAAAGTTAAAAACTATTTAGTTGTAATATTTACTTTTCATGGACTTCTGAAATCTTGGGTTTAAATTGGTACGTTATTGTACTTGGTTAAAAATCTACTTTTTTATATTTATTGTTTCCATAGTAGGTTTATGTTCAATTGTGCAAAATAAAAGAAAAAACAACTTTTATTTGAACAATTTTATTAAAAATTTGTATTTTGCACTTTTTGTCAAATTTCTCGAATGCAGTCCATTTTATGGAAATTGTGTATGGGACAAAAATTGTAGAGAACGACACTAAAAACAACTTTTATTTGATCAATTTTCTTAAAAAATTTAATTTTGCACTTTTTGTTAAATTTCTCGGATACGGACCTGTTTAGGAAAATTATATAGAACAAAAATAATAGAAAATGGCATTACAATCAACTTTTATTTTAAGAATTTTCTTCTCCAAGGGCAAATAACATATATTCCTCCAGATGCTCCAACTATGTCCAAAATCTAATAAACTCTTTATTAAAGCTTAAGTTTAAAATTTAGTGTTTTTCTCTATATCCGTTCATGAGTTATCGAGTATACAGACACCCAGACATCATCGCGAAAATGGTCAAAATGGATTCAGGGGAGCTCGAAACGTAAAAACCCGTCAAAAACTCAAGGTCGAAAAAATCATGATTCCTATACCTTCCTTTTGTCTATAGACAGGAAAGTAAAAAACTAATTAGCCAAACCTTAATTTTGTAATAAGAAATCTTTTCCCCTCTATGGGTGCTTAAGGTGTTATATTTTTTAAAAGCTTATTTCCGGTTTTTACACACGCCTAAATCAGCTGTATTAAGTGGGTCTTAGGTAGCCTGAATAGTTTTTGTCAACATTCAATAAAGAATGCATATAATTATAAAAATGTTTAGAAACGTTAAAACGAACTAGTTAGTACAGTAAAAAATATAGTTTCTGTCTTGCTCAATGTCTTGTAGCAAATTACATTTTATTTAAACAAACAAAATTCCTTAAGTATCTTATATTACAAATAAACCAAGGTTCTTTTCACATTTTTTGTAAACAATTTTAAAAGTCTACTGTCTATTTTTCATCTCCAGGTTTGGAAAACACTAGTGTGTATCCACACTTTCCACAATAATGCCTGTCTTCCATGGCTGCCATGAAAACACCAGCACCGCACTGCTCTGCTGGGCATTCACGCCTCAATCGGTGAATTTTACCATTTTCGTCAACCTAAAACATAATAAAAAAAAAAAAAAAATACGTAAAATATAAGGCGATCCACCATAGAGTTGAAATTTACACAAGGTGGTCTTAAACACATATTTGCTCTATTTGTTTATACAGAGTGGCCCAAAAGTCTGGAAACGGCCAATTATCTCCTAAATTGATAGTCCTAATTGTACAAAATGTGGGGTACACCTATTTTGGGATACGGTGATTCCAGATTTGATATTTGCAATGTTGTCAGATTTGCCGTTTCTCTTAAATTATTAGTCACTTTGGTTTTTCAAATTCATCACCCTGTATATTCAGTCATTATTGGAATCTCCTATTCAATACGAGTTCAACCATATGTAACACTTATGATTTTATGTAGTCTGGAAGGTTTTAAATAAATAAAATAAGTCTGGCTACACCTAATTGTCTCAATAAATTTTTTAATACAAACTATTTTCAACTACATTAAAACGTAACAATTGAAAGATTATAACATTTTTAACATAATAGTTACTTTATCAAGTGTTCAAAATGTGCTCCATTTGTGAGTTGACAGTACCCTAATTGATGGTAGAATGTGTCTACCACATTTCTCCATGATTGTTTTATTTATTTAAGACCTTCCAGACTACATAAAATCATAAGTGTTACATATGGTTGAACTCGTATTGAATAGGATATTCCAATGACTGAATATACAGGGTGATGAATTTGAAAAACCAAAGTGACTAATAATATAAGAGAAATGGCAAATCTGGCAACATTGCAAATATCAAATCTGGAATCTCTGTATCCCAAATTTTGTACAATTAGAATTAGCAATTTACGAGATAATTGGCCGTTTCCAGACTTTTGGGCCATTCCGTATATACACATCTTATATAGCCAAGATGTGAATTTTTGATAACGTGATTCAGGATTAGATTCAAATTTAGATGTAATAAACAAACCCTCTCTAGACATATTGGTCACGTGGTAAAAATAATAATGGCAAGTTTATATAATATATATATAATGATTAAATGTTATTCTGGAAATTCAAATAATCTTTTTCTACCATGACTATCCAAAGTAGGATTTTGCACTTCGAAATTTAACGGCAAAGTTGACGTTTTTCGCAAACTGACAATAAGTGACTGCTTTGTCGATCGCCGAGTGGAAAACTTGAGAGCTTTGTCGCTCGCCTAATTTAAATTAGATATAAAATAATATTTCTTTTTTAATAAATGATTTTGAAGTTATTTGTACCTAGTTGATGTTTTTTCTTTTATTATCCAAATTAACGTTAAAGTATATAGTCAGCACTTATGAGAAATTTTCAGTTTTTATATAGGGTTTCTTAAAATAATGTGATCCTAAAAAAAAAATCTTGTGTGTAATTTGAGCGAACAGTTCGTTGTCGCTACGCGTCGCAACTTTTTGTCTCAAGCGACAAAGTGTCACTTTTCACTATTAATACACAAATAGCTATTATAGTATGAGATCTGACCATATAATTTGGAATGAAAATTCGATAAGAGTGGAAGATTCTGAACGCGAGTGTGAAGAACCAAGAGTATCGGATTTTCATTCCAACAGAGTAAAAGACTGTACTTTGTCCACGTCCACAGGAGGAGTTGAATATAGTAAAATGAAACTTTAAAAAAATTAAATATTTAATCTAATGTTATGAAAGTTTTTATTTAAATTATTTGCATAATTTGTCAGTTCTGGAGGAATATTATCAAATTCCATATAAGAATCATTATATTTACCAATTTTTGTATTTAAGTTTGACTTAACAAACGCCCCTTATCTTGATTCAGGCAAATTTAAACTAAATACTAATGCCACATATAGTGATGTGAGTTGGGTAAATATCCAGTGGGTAGGTTAATAAATTGTGGGTATTTACCAGTTATTTTTCCAAGAGATATTTATTTACCTACCCAAAAATATAACCTAAAATAAATTCATGTGTTTGTTTTGTTATAACACATGACAGTCGCGACAAGAATGTTATAAAGCGCAAGGCAGGAGATATTATTTATCAATGCTCATAGGTCCGTATTTATAAACAGAACTCAGCTGAGTCGGACTTGAGTAAGTCCTCCTTGGACTAAAATCGAAGTTCGGTTACAGCGTCTCTAAAGTTCCAGGTGGTTCCAGTGTTACACTGGAATTTAGAGATGGATATTAGCAAATCTGTAACTATTAAGTACATTTACGGATTTGTTACTACCCATCTCTACATTCACGCGCTATAACTGAACTTCGATTTTCGTTCAAGGACGACTCATCCAAGTCCGACTCAGCCGAGTTGTTTATAAATATGAACCATAGTCAATCTACAAAGCAGGTGAGTCAATCTTCACTCTCATTATGGGTAGAAGGAGAAAAGTTGACTGGCAATTTTACAACATAAAAGAAAAAGCAGTGGTGTGCAAATTTTGCAATAGACGGTTCGAGTTTCCAAATGTGAATAAAATGGAAAAACACACATTGAATTGTTTACACAATTCACATATTATGAAATAAATGTGTGTCATGCCAATTGCTTAAATTTAATAGATATCGATAAATTTACCCAATTTAGGTAAATATTTTTGGGTATTTTCCTGAAAAATTTTCCGCAAAAATAAATACCTGGGCATTTTACATCACTAGCCACGTAGAACTGGCATGAAATTCATTACTATCTACGATGCGGGCGTGGTATTCACAGCCATTGGCCAGTAGCTATTACATAATACATACTGAACATTCTATCTCCAAAGTTATAATGAAATACGTGTAAAATACATAAGAAGCACGTGTTTCAGAATTTTCTTTCAATCTCAAGAGCGAGAATGGTTTCTTTCTGTTATTAGGTGGTTTCGGAAGAACTACATTCACTAGTGGTCATGGAGAAAAGTACTTTATTTTCTACTATAAGGTATATTTGTTATTTATGTTTATAGAAGAAAATTCTTTCAACAAGAGTGTTATTATTCTCTATAATTTTGGTCATGGACCGTAATGGATAAATTTGAGGAAAATACAAAACTTGATTGTTTCAGTATTTTCGTTGGCAACGAAGTTATGAAATAATGTTTTGAATAATGTTTATCTGTAATTCATATTCTAAACATTTTTTGATTAGTAAATTATTTTATAACTTCATTGCCAACGAAAATACTGAAAAAATCCAATTTTGCACTTCTCAAATGTCTCCATTGTGGTCCATTTTAGAGAAATCATGTGTATGACCAAAACGATAGAGAATAACATCACAAACAACTCTTGTTGAGAGGAATTTCTTCTATATTGTGACGCGGAACCGCCTCTGTACTTTGCCTGCGGTATGAAGTCTAACGCTGGCCATATAAAGACAAATGCACCGCTTCTCGAAGCATTCTAGGTCGCCTAGAGTGTTCTGGTACAGAGCTGGCTTTATATAAATAGCCGCGACTTTGTCGATAGGAGGAAGAATGAATTTAAGTGTTGGACAGTAAAGAAAAATTGTAATAAATTAGAATTGTGAGTTATAATAGTGTCTAAGTATTACATAAATTATTCAATACGTTATAAATAAATCGTGAATAAAGTGTTTTAAAAAAATTAACTATAAATAAATTAAACAAACGTTACAATATTCATAAAGTACAGAAATATACCTTGAAGTAGAAAATAAAGTATTATTAAAAGTACTTGCGGCTATGTTTTGGTTGGCAACTCAGCAAAACCGTATTACTCTATCAATAATTATATATAAAAATTATATTTTGAATAAAAACAGATGAGCGCAGAAATCATATGGTCAGATCTTAGACTACCGGCGTTGCGAAAATGACGATAAGAAAAAAACTCAACAATTCCTCTCAACAGTATGCACAGGATTGTGCAAGCTCATTCTTCACAAAAGGTGAATATGCTATCCTGGTCACATGGAGCCACATGAGAAGTGATAGAGTGAATGTGAATAGAATCTAATGGATGAATCAAACAAAAATAACAATGACACCTATCAACATCTCATTTCAAATCCAGATGTAATTATTAATAAAAATAATAATTAATATCAATATGTTAAAAATGTAATCTACACAGCTATAGCTCAAATAAACGCTTAAGTGGTAAAACATGCACTTGATGTGGATAATTAAATGTAGCATTTAAAAAGATTTTATGGTAAATATTTTTTTTTATTTATTATTATTATTATTATTATTATTATTATTATTATAATTTGATAAGAGCAGGGGCCATAAGACCCATATTAACTGAATATAAAACAATATTACTAAAAACTAAATCAATAACAGGTACAACCGATGAATAAACAATGAAACAAATGAAATGTTAATTAAAAAATAGAAAATTATCAAGTTCGTTCTTAAAAACATTGACAGATGGAGCATTTACAACATTCTCCGGTAGAGAATTCCAAGTGTGGAATATTCGATTAAATAAAAAATTTTGCCTCGTTTTCGTAAAAAATTGTTCTTTTTTCAGCTTCCATTTATGGCCACGTAGTCGATTTTCACTGTTCACGATGAACATACATTTTAAATTTCCAAAATTATATTTTAAAATACGAAAACAAATTATCATGTCACCCCGCAGACGGCGATTTTCAAACGTTTGTAGTTCAGCCATATGTAGTCTCTCTGCGTAATTAGGTCTCATACGTCCGAAAAATAGTCTGGTTGATCGGCGCTGAACATTTTCAAGAATATTTTTATCCCGCACTAGTTCCGGACACCACACAGCTCCGCAGTACTCGATAATCGGACGAATGTATAATTTATACAGCCGGATAGAATTTTGAAAAGACACTTTTGCGAATGTTTTCTTTAATAAGTACATTTTCGTGTTCGCCTTTTTTGACACTTGAAGAACGTGCTCAGACCAGCTGAGATTTTCAGTAATTATAACACCTAGATCATTGTAAGATTTAACTTTATTTAACGTATGACCGTTTAGAAAATAATTATGACGAGGATTATTTTTACCATTTTAAGAAATAATTTTAAAAATACCTAGGTATATTACCTTACAACTGGGTAGCTATTCTTGAATTCGAGGGAATAGAAAACCGGTTTTGCCTCTTTATCTGCAACGCGCAAAATTTGTATTTTTGTCTCATTCTTCCCTCAAAATTTCTACTCCCTGAGATTCAAGAACAGATATCCTGGAATCATTATTTTGTGATAATCAAAATTTACCTTATAAAACTTCAATACTGCCAACTTGACCTTCTTCTTCTTATGCTTAATCTTCTTGGGAGTAGAATAATTCTTCTTCTTACGCTTCTTGGCACCACCTCTCAATCGGAGCACCAAGTGCAAGGTGGATTCCTTCTGAATATTGTAGTCAGATAAGGTACGGCCATCTTCGAGCTGTTTTCCAGCGAAGATGAGACGTTGCTGGTCTGGGGGAATTCCCTCTTTGTCCTGTATCTTGGCTTTAACATTTTCTATAGTGTCAGAAGGTTCGACCTCGAGGGTGATGGTCTTACCCGTTAAGGTTTTGACGAAGATCTGCATTTTGGGGAGTCAACTGTAAAATAATGGAAAATAGTATATTAATTACTCAACTAGCAGTAATAACTAGTTGAATACTATTCTTTTTTTACAATTGTTATATTAGTGATGACGTAATTTGTGATCCAATGACAATACTTACTTAATTTTTTGAGTGTTGTTTTTTCATCACTAAATTATGTATAGTTTTTTAACTTTTATAATTAATGTTCCTAAAGTAAGTAGATAACATATTATCTCAATGTCAATGATAAAATGGTTTGTTTTTGTTAAAAGTCATTGAAACACAAATTACTTCACACTAATATAGAGTATGAGGAATTTTTTTTTATTTCAGAAATTAATATATTTACATAAAAATACAGGTTTCATTCATACTGGGCGACAATGAGACTAAGGTCCACATTAATATCTTTTATGTATCAAGCGACTTGGATCAAATTTAGAACATACTAGAAATCATTTTGAATTGATACTTATACAAAATGGCCTACTTTCGGTTTTAACGGAAATGCCATTAAGTTTGATTTTTTAAATGAACCACCCTAAACATATTTTTTGGAATCTAAGCTTCAAATTACATATGACAGATTTTCTAAATTGTCATCCCTCCCAAATAATTATTATATAAAAAAAAAAAAGGATTATTTTTATTGCAAAGCATAATATCAGCTGAATCGAGTCTTCCACAAGGATATAATCTTGATCTGACATTGTAGTATTTAAAATAATCAAGACTAGTTATATTTTACAGATGATCTTAAAATATACAAATACAAACTGTGAGGTATTGAGTAATAGTATAAAAGGCCATTGATAATTTGTATGAGTGGAATTGGTGAAATAAACTTTTTTTTATTTTACTAAATGTTATGTAATGACATTAACGCGTCTAAGGGCCGATTCCACCGTTGTGTTAAACGGAGATTAAAATGACATTGTTAATGTAAAAATGTCATTTTAAACTTCGTTTAACACAACGGTGGAATCGGTCCTAAGGGAACCAGTTGTTTTTAATTACATGCTGAATAACGAAATATTATACCTACTTTTTATATAAAAAAATGTACAAGTATTTTACCCAGAACTTCCTTCGATATAGAAATTGTAAAAATAGGAAACTCATAAGCACTTTTTACGAACGTGACAAAGAACACTGAGCAGTCGCGAAATGAGAGTTCGGACCGGATAAAGAGTAAAATCGAGAAAACCTTTTTCACCGTTATTGAACGATGATTTGCTGCTTTTAAAGTGGTCGAGTTAAACAAACTAAAAGGACGCTTTTCTTATTTCCATCAGGAGGGACCTTTTTTGATTAAATACTATTCCTTTCAATGCCATTTGGATTTTTTTAAAACTTATTTGGGATCTATTGGAATTTTAGTCGAAAATCTGCACTTTTATTTTTTTTTAAACTGCTCACCCTGTATATAACTGATCGAAAGTATAACTTGTTTTGAGTCAGAAAAGAACCTTATTTGTATACAAAATTTGAAAATTTTCTCTAAAGCCGTTTTGGGCTATCGCACCAACGACAGACCTACATAATGGAAAACATGTTTTTCGTAATCTAGGGACCCTGAAACATGAAAATTTGAAATAATCTCAGAGGGTGACTTTTTCATGATTACAATACTTCCCTCTTATCGAGGGAAGTAAAAACAGAAACTGGTAGGTAAGCAGAGATATAAGAAAACGAGAAGAAACAGGAGACTTGTAATAAAAAACGGATTTATGATCTAGTGCTGAATTGCTGAGAGCGTTCTTATAAATTCGATTTCTTTTTAATTTTAGCTTTTTTGATCGAATTCCGTAAAAATGAACTCAAAAAACACTAAAAACATGCAAGTTTAAACTATCGATGATTACTTCAAATAATCGATAGTTTTCAATAGAAACAAACTATCGATAGTATCCAATCACTATTTTCCAGTACCATTACAATACAAACTATCTACCTCAGTTTAGTATGATCTAAATTGGATTTGGTCAAGTGGATAACAAATTTATTTTTTTTGTTATAATTGGCTTTTAAATAAAAAAAATTTGAATCATGAACCGAAACACCATCAAAAAATAGGACTCGATTAAAGGACAAAATGTACCAAAATTTCACTCTCTAAATATTTTCAAGAAAAAATTTTTTTTCGCCTACTCTAAGCCCTAAATAAATCGACAGAGCGGACCCAAATTGTAAAATTTTATAAGAAATCACTCCATAAGATGGTTGGCAGAACACCCTGTTAAATTATTGGAAAACATCATTACTGTGGATGAAGGAAATAATACAATTTGCATCATTATAATTATTGTATAATGCGATACATTTTGCCTGATATGAACAAGTTCCTATTACACCTTGTTCAACTCATTGTAAGGTATTCGCTCCGTGCGAAGTCATGGAAAGGGAAGCAAAAGCGATACTAGCGCTAGCTGCGGATAATTCGTGCATTTTAGGGGGATATTTTGTAATTTTGGCATATCAAATACACGTATACATTTTACTTTTTTTCAAAAAAAGTAGGTAAAAACAATACAATAAGCAACCGGAGTTACTGTGTTGAAAATTGTACAAATACTAGCAATAAAAACAGTGAAACTTATATAAAAAATTTCAGTAGCAAAGTGGAAATTAAATTAAAGAAATGAATGGATAGATATACAATAAGAAGGAAAATTACCTTTATTTTTGTAATAATAACCGTAATGCTGCAAATAGTAGACATCAGAAACTTGAAAGTTTTTAAATCAACAATAGATTATCATTTTACCATGTTCTTTAATATCCCTTATTCTTAAATGTTCATTCAGCAAGGACTAGATTTCAAGATTTCTGCCTTTGATTATTATATGTGGTTGGAACGCAATTTTGTAAATTACTGATAGGAAATCAGTTTTAATCATTCATTCTATGTTTTCTTTCGAACAAAAATGAATATATAAGTAATGATCCTTTTTTATACATTTTAACTTCACGCTATTATTAAATGGTATTTTTGTATTTTGACAGAATAGACTAATTCTTCAATGAAAACTTATTAGACTTAGGCAACTTCTCATACATTTTCCTGTAAATACTGTTGCCTGCCTATATTTTATTATGGATTTTTATCAATTATACATAATTTTCTTTAATTTAAGCGATAAAAATATATAATAATAATAAAAAATTAATGTTTTACTTGTTTTACAAATCCATATACTTTTATTAAAACTAACATGTATACTTTTTAATTACGAATTCTATTAAAAGTTGCATTTGTCAGTATACGCCGAAATCCTCCATTAGTATCAAAACGAATTGGCGCTGCTGTCGCGCACGGAGCGAATAGTATCCCTGTTAAAAACGTTCACATTATTCCCTAATTAATTCAAATTCTGTATCAAAACTGGAATTATTATATATTTCAGAAAAAGAAATTATATTTGAATTATGTAAAATTGGGTACCTACCAGTATAAAATAAATACATAAATGAAAGTACATTATTTGACATTCAAAAGTCTAACACAATATTAGTACATCGATGTAGAACTTAATAGTGCCACTGGCAAAAGCAAAGAAACTCTTTTTTTGTAATTTTCCTTAAGTCAAAAAAAGTTACTTAAATTTAATAAATTAATACTATTATTGGTAATAAAGATACTTTTCCGGATGTTTTTTTTTTTTTGTTAACATGTGAATATTATTGTATTTGTGATCAATAAACCTTTGTATACTGTTTTGTATTTTTTGTTGTATTTAAATATGTACCACTGGTGGTACATGACAGCGGACATATATTTTATGCTCAAGGACGTTGTGTGCCAACGGTGGCCACAAGGTAAAAGTATATTACTAATTATCTCTCTTTTGTTTTAGAAAATTTAACCATAGTCTTAAGATCTACAATTTGTTTTTTAATTTACATAAGTTCTTTTTGTTTTAAATTTTTATGTTATAAATTTTTATAAGTTAGTTTAGTGTATAAGTTTTGTACCTGCAACAAAAAATATACTGAATATGTTACTTGAATATATTTTTTCTTCTAAAACTTGTTTTTTAGTATACACATATAGTAGTCAATCATATAATGCAAAATGGTCTGATTCAGAAACATGTGTACCACAGGTCATGTACCACCATTAGTTACAGTCAAAACTTGTTTTCAAAACTTCCTATACAGTTTATGTTTTAAAATAGGATTAAATAAGAAATTCAATGTGTACCACATTTGGTATATGCCAGCTGCTGCTAGTAGCGCCCTCATGTACCACATGTGATGCACATCACAAAAGTGTTAAAATCAATTTAGAGTTAACTTCCAGTTGCAGTTACACTAATTAAAAGAAGGGACAGTATTTACAATTTAAAAATTCCTCATAAATATAACTAGTATTTTTGTTTTTCATTGGTATTGCAAACAAGGAGTGTCACAATAAAAAACTATTTATATGTGAATAATTTTATTAATAAAAAATGAATCAAAGCAATAAAATACAATGTAACGAAGTATTAAACTAACAATACAGCATTTATACACCCATCATTTTCAGGATTATTAGTGACTTGAGCATATTTACCCCAAACAACCTTACCAGCCTGAGTAACCAAACCAAGTTCTGAAATATTAACTTCAATGACAGTACCCTTAGTAATGACACCTAAGCTAGTGAACATTGCAGAACTGGGATTCTTTTTAACACCGATAATTGGTAAACAAAATGTAGCTTTCAGTTCTGGATGTGTTACATGTGCCTTTTTGAATCTAAGTGCCATGGGGCGAATGAATCTTTCAAATTTTGGTGGTTTTCTGGTGAAGCCCTCTCCAACAAATGTAACTTTTGTAACCATTCTTTTCCATGCTTTCCTTCTTGTTTTTCCGGATTTAACTACTTTGAGTACTTCTGCATCAGCTTGTGCTCTAACTTTAGGAATAGGCACATCCCATTTACCAGCTTTTTCCTTTCTTTTCTGTTTAATCATATTAGATAACACCTTAGCTCTAGATTGAACATCTCTGTCCAACAAATATACAGGTACAGCTCCTTCAGATACTTTCTCAGTCGTCTTCTTGATTTTCTTCTCCTCATGTGCTTTGATTTTCTTTTTCATTTGTATCTTTTCATTTCTGCGTTCTTTGTTAAAGATCTTCGCTTTAATACCGCGAAGACTCTTAGCTACTTGGGCTCTTTTGTGAGGCTCACGGGCCTCCTTCTTCCTCTTTCTTTCTTCATAATCAAGTCTTCTTCCATAGAGCTTTTGGTGACGTTCAACATATTCGTTCTGTGGCATTTTGGAGTTTCTGAAATTAAAATGAATGTAAGACGTTATGATAGAAAGTTATAATCATATTCAACGCCCTTTGAATATGACTATAACGAAGAAAAACGGAAGACTTAGTTCACTTACCTCTTGAATTAAAGGTTGCAATTGACTACAATAGTCATATTCAAAGAGTTTTGAACTCCTTGAGCACATTTTCACTCCCGCGTTAAGAAAATTAACTAGTATTTGATACAAAAATAGATTTATGTAAAGTTACCATGTGCAAACACACGATATGTTAGACAAGCTATTTTTTAGAATTACTTACTTTTAGTAATAAATCTTTTATTCTGAGCTTTTACAATTAAAAATGGAATAAAACAAACTACATAAATTTAGTATTTAATCCAAAATATCGAAATTATAAAATAAACTAAGAACTTACCCACTACTCCACCATAACACGCTGTAAAAAGAACTTTTATTACTTGACAGTAGGAAATGACGATTTGACTTTCTAAATTGACAACTCTACTTCCTCCAATGCAACCAACTGTCCACGTATATTCTGCTATCTACCATTTCTGTAAAGGCAGAATATTTTAGCTACTCGCTATATCAGATGGCAAGGCATCATGATAAATTTTAAATTTCTTATTAGAATCGATTTTAATGGTTAAAAGAATATCAAATTTCTAATTAGCATCAAATTTTAATTGTTCAAATAATGAATGTATTTTATTTTAAGAGTCCTTATAACGAAGAGTAAAATTATTATTATTATTATTATTATTTATTAGGGAGTTTTAGCAAACAGCCGCTAACCATCCGCTAACGTTACCTTAGGGATAGACTGTAATCTACTCTGTTCAATGTTTATGAAAAAGGTCACAATCTAAGTTTAACGTAACGTTAGCGGAAATCTTACGTACATTTGCTAAAACTCTCTATTATTATTAGCAAATGTACGTAAGATTTCCGCTAACGTTACGTTAAACTTAGATTGTGACCTTTTTCATAAACATTGAACGGAGTAGATTACAGTCTATCCCTAAGGTAACGTTAGCGGATGGTTAGCGGCTGTTTGCTAAAACTCCCTAATAAAAGGTCTTTTCCTTTGCATCGAAAGTGTAGCACTAAGCTATGCCGCTTCTGAAAATATCGTTCTATCCATACATTTTGTATAAATGGAACGATATTTTCAGAAGTGGTGTAGCTTAGTGCTACACTTTCGATGCAAAGGAAAAGACCTAAAAACACCATTTACTTCACTTGTCTGTTTCACACAGAATATTTCATTTCTCTGCTAATTTCACGTATTAATACGTCAATGCGCGTGCGCCTATAGTAAATTTAGTACTAAAAATTGGTATTGTTGCAAACGGAAAAAAAATATTTTTAGTTCTAAATTTAGTACTAAATTAATAACTCAATTTAGTGCTAAATTTAGTATTTAATTTAGTATCGTGACATACAGCCTTAAAAAATGCATTAATTTAGTTCTAAATTTAGTTCTAAATTTAGTACTTAATTTAGGCCCGTATTTATAAACAGAACTTACGTGCAGGCTAGGGGATCTTTAATAGGGAAATGCTTACTCGTGTTGTAGTACTGTGCACCACCCATAGATGGCGCTACTTTACACAAAGTTTGCTCGTTGCATTCGTCGAGCAGATTCAGAGTGTATTCAGAGCAGGTTCAGAGTAACGCAAGTGTACGCAAGTTGTTATTTAAAACTTTCAAAGAAAAAAAAAACGCTATTAATGGCAATAATGGCCGTGTTCATCGTCGTCAAACATGTTTTAAAAGCAAAGAAACATGTTTCATAAGCGGTTGGAATGACGCTGAACGATCATTTTTGTTTACGATTTGTTTTCTCAACCTCAAATCTGTCAAAAAATGGAATGACATTTGGTTGGCACAAAGAAGGTTATGTGAATTGTTTACTTTAGTATTTTTTAAAAAAAATTGAGTTGAATTGATTTGTACAGTGAATTAGAGTTTATATAAGTACCCTTCTGAAAGTGGTTTTGACAATTTTACGGCGAAAAACCTACAACTTGTATTATTTTGGGTTGTAAAGTCATGATGTTTTTATTGCCTCTATGGATCTTGAATTCTACATACTTAAGACTAATCAAAGAAATTGTAATAGTCATTTTATTAAAGGTAAAATACATTTTTTTGACACACAAATAAAAACATACTGTAACTAGATCATACTTTGAAGAGCAGAATGAGAATGCTATTTATTGTGTTTAATCAACTGTCTGGTCTGCACCAATAAATTAAAGGAACTCATGATACTAATAACATACATATCAAAAAGTGATCTTTTTACATATATCAAGGATACATAAAAGTGTTTAATAATAGAGACATCAAGTATGACTTTCTTATTTTTAGGGAAACAGACTTCCTTCAAAGTTAGTAATCATTTAAACTGGACTCCAGCCCAGAACTTGAGGCATGTGTCTCAAACCAGTTCAAAACTAACTGATTCGAAAAAGGAGGAAGAGATAAAAACGAAAATCAACCTGAAGTAAACTTTTATTTTTGAGTCATACCTAACATCATAAGTCCCGCTTTAGGCAAGACAAACCCACTTTCAAGTTATGTGTTCCATTGTCCCCAAAGAATGCAAGAATGTCCCGCTTTAAAAGAAAAAGTGATCTGATTCAAAACATTTTTCAAAAAAGAGTGGTATCTCATATAAATATGTGCTAGTGAAAAAAACTTACTTAATTTGAAGTATCAGTATTGAAAGCCAAGCATAACATAAACAAGTCACGTCAACAGTTCCATTCCCATTTAAAAACTAAAATATAGAAAATTAGCCCACTAAACAAGTTTTATTTCGCTTTTCTAATTTCTAATAAATAAACAAAATTATGTTATTTCACTTATTTTTAATACATTTTTTTATTATATTATTGTTTTACTTTTACTACAATCTTACTGTTGTTATTCTACATTAAAAATAATGAAAAATTGCTGTTGTCTTTTAAAATTTACAGGCTTCTTGCTGTGAGGTAAGAAATGATAACGTTTTATTACAAAAACCGAAAATTGTTAAAATAATCCCTATCTAATGCTTTACTTATTTTTTTACAAAGTATTTTTGATTTAGGTACTTAGGTGTTATACATTTTTGGTCATTGCTAATATTCATATTGAGTCTGAATTATTTTTATGTATTAATAAAATTTGTCTAGTATTATAGAGTTATACATACCTTATCGACAAACTATATACATTAATTCTTTTATAGGAATTATATATTTTGTATTGGAAATTAATAAATATACAAACTTAATGTTGTCATATAGGTAGAGCGACTTATTAGCAAAAATTATTTGAAATGTATACAGTAATGAGGTATTTTTTTAAAGGTTCAACAAACCAAGGTGGGCCCTTTTTAATATAATTGCTTATATTTAATTTATTTTGTAAATAAAATGTCATACTTTTATTATTATTATTTATTTTTTAATGCCCTTTTGGCCCTATATACATTACATGAAAACAAAAACATCGGTGCAGTTTTAATAACAAAACTCGTCTGTTTTGAATAACTGTGCTAAAACTATATAATATGTAGGTATGTTATATTATCCATATTCCTTACTGGTGGAATCCCATTAACGTCCAAATGAAATAATTTAAGCATACGTGTATGTATCTACGTCTGGAATTAATTTTATTTTCTTCAAATAGGTATCTCCATAAATACAATATTATATTAAAATACAACTTAACTAATCAACTCTATTAGGGTATAAAACCTTAAAAATATAAATAAACAAACAAACACATAACCTAACAAAATGCCAAAAGACGGATTTGACAGGGGTCCAAGGTCAATTTTATGCTTTTAAAGCAAACAAGCGAGTTTATTTTCGCTTTTATGCTTCTTCAAAAGCGCTGCAGCGGTTGACAGTTCATCGTCACCGCTTACTCAGCGTTACAACATGTTTGACGACGATGAACACGGCCAATGATAATGGTTGATTTGTTTTATTAGGTTAGTTTTTCGAAGAGAATTTTTAAAGCTTTAAACATATATAATTATGGTGCGAATTCGTCCTTGTGCTGATCCAGATTGTCAGGATAAAGTTAGTTGCAGGTAAGGAATACATTCACAATTTTATTTCTTTACAAGTAAAAACTTCTTTTTGTATTTTATTCTTAAATACTTTGCCAAATTTTAAGAGCATATATTATTACTTAAAAGTACCCAATTTGTGAAATAAATTTCCAAAATAATGCGGGTAACCTAATGTTTTCTAGGAAAAATTAAAAATCTTAACCTAACTTTTATCGTTTTCTATACAATTTCAGTAACTAGATAAAATATATGAATATTAAGAAGATTGAAATAAATAGTGTTATTAGTATTTTTTTAGAATTATACAATATGTAATGGATACTTTATATTAGATACCTGTATACAATTTTTTTTCGGAATTCAAAATGAGGTACTTTTCAAACATACCAATAATTGTATATTTTATATTGTGCGACTCTTATTATTTTTTGTTCCATATACTGTGACCTACCTCACCATCTTCACAATTTATTGATTCCAATTAATAAAAGTTGCATTCTTACTAAATTCAAATTCCTTCATTTTATTGAAAAATCTTCTATGATATATTTTTAAGAAATGCCGATTCATTCTCACTAGCTAATAAATTAATATCTCAGCTGAATTGACTCAAAACAAAAATAATAAAATTGAACTTTATATTTTTTAACTGTTACTCTTCTTCATTTTTTACATGAAAACGAATCAGCAAACACTGCAATAGGAAGTGACAAGTACACCCAACAGCAGCCAGAGCCAACTTTCCCCAGGAACTTTCGTTACAACTTCTAGTGGATACAACCATGGGTGAACTTCGTAATAGTTTTATATTCATATTTCTTTATTATTGTGTACTGTACTGTAATAAGAATTCGTGCAATTTTAATTCTAATAATAAAAAATATATGGTTATAATCGTGTTTTACTTCATAATAAGATGTATTTTTTGTTCCACAAATCCAAAATTATAATTTTTCGTTTCCTTTTTAACTTAAAATATTTCAAATTTTATCTATCACAGAACATAACCCAATGGATTATATCCATCTAAGTATGTTTAGTGAAGAATAAAATGTTTGAATCATTTTAAGTAAAAAAGAATGAAAAATTATAATTTTGAAAACTTAGTAGTGGTTTATTAGAAAGGCCGAGTTTGAAAAACCCGCGCTCATTGACCCCTACCGCCATCTATATAATAAATCTTGAACAAATTTTCAATTATTAGTTATCTTCTTTTTTTTTAACTCAACTATTTGCAACCGCTACGGATGGCGCTGAAAGATGAGTAAAATTTTTCACTGTTGAGTGGCCCATCTTTAAAGGGTATGGTCTGTGCTTACGTGAGTCGCACAGAACACTGTGAGTCGGACTTGGGTAAGTTG